GGTTGAAAGTGGCTTTCAATTTCGAATGTTTTGTTCGAATTTGTTCGAATTAAATTCGAACATAAAATTCGAATATTGGTTCGATAATAGAACGATTGTAAACGTTCCAGAAACATTGAAAATAGTTCGTTTGACTAAACGTAAAAATTCTCTAATTAGTCTGGAAACGGGGGACCTAATTCTTGCATTCTGTGAAAACGGGTAAGATTGGCTATAATGTAATTATCTTAATCTTCACTATCGTTACTTTTTGCCCAGCGAAGCGGGTCCTTGCAGCTAGATTCTAGATTACTTAGAGAAACAGTCTTTTATATATATAAAAAAAACTATATTACATACAAATAAAAACCCAGCGAAGCGGGTCCTTACAGCTAGTACTCAATAATAAAAAAAAAAAAAACCTGAACAAGAAGTAAAAGTACAGTATTAAATTTTATTCTTATTTTTGAATGTGATGATCACTAGTTAAAAGCAAAAAAATAATAACTTACATTGAATTTAAAATATACTTAACAAACCACTAAAACAGTCATGAGCAACCTGCAATCTGTGAAGTTTTAATATGCAAATTCCAGAGTTTTGGCACTATAATTTTATTTTTCTGTTTTCTGCCTCATGGTATTATGCAACCTTAATTAGACTGATATTTGTGACAGAGAGCATTTAAACCAAACTTGAGAAATAAAAAGACGATGAGAAACGATATATTATTAGTTTGTATATTATTATCATGTAAATTATTATTTTAGTATTGCTATATATACAGTGGTGCCTCGTATAACGTACGCCTCGAATAACGGACGCTGCTAATAACGGACTTTCTGTTTGACCGTTACGTGACTCAAGCAACGGACTTGCTGCGAACAACGGACTTTCCGTTCGGCATATACGTGAGACGAACAATGGACTTTTTTCGAACAAGTGCGAATGATGTTTCCACTCTTTTGTCGTTGCCAATGACAATCTGCTATTTTTAGGATATATTAGTATTATTAGTATATCTGAAGTAGAAATGTAATGTAATATATGTTGATAATTTAAATAAACATTAAATGTAATGTAATATATGTTGACGATTCAAATAAACGAAATGTAATTGTGTAGATGCGGAGGTGGCGGGACAAAAAGAAGTTGTAAAAAACAA